AAAAAACAAAAAAACAAAAAAAAAAGTAGCTCATCCTCGTAAAGAAATGATAGGGCATAATGCTAGAGAAGCAAGTTTTGTTACTCCAACTTTATTTTTTAATAAATAGTTACATACCCATAATTCTTTAAAAGTAATTGCAATAGGGTGAAAACATATAATTAATTTCATTAGCAGTAAAATCTCTCCCCTGTTCTCTGCTCCATGTAATAATCATTAATATCGTAACATTCCGGGTGTGATTGGATATAAACTTAACAAAAATAAATAAATAAATAAATAAATATCAATCAAAACTAAAATTTAATTCAACTTTAACCCAACCTCACTATCCTCAATATTATTAATATAATTAAATAATGTCAACTAATCATTCTTACACCTCACATCAATTTTAATTCACTATTCATCCACTCACATAATTTTAACTAAATATCACTTCCAATCATTTTTCTCCAACTTTTACATCAAATCAACTTTAATTATTATATATTCAATATTATTTAATTTAAACATAAATTCCCACTAACAACTAATCATACCACTTTTTTCAAAATTAACCATGTTTAACAAAAAAACCAATCAAATTCATATCCAGTCACACCCTTAAATGCCAATAACAGTATCAAAAATGACCCATGTTAAATATGTATATATTCATAAGCTTTATACCTTGTAGAGGGGTTCTCAATACTTTGTAGAGCCTGTCGAAGCAATTTTGAATTTACAGTCACTATTTGATTTGCAAGCAAACTCTTTTCATCTTTCTCCCCGTGTCGAAACCCGTGAAACACATGTTGCTGATTTATTTCACGCAGTTTCTTTTTAGCTGCCATCAAGCGCCTTTGGAACTTTTGTCTTTCTTTCCATTCCTGATTTTAGGCAACACTAGATACGATCAGGATAAATCAAATCAAGGCAAGAAATCGGGAGTGGCTCAAAAGGTTCTAAGATTAAGTTTTGAGCGAGAGTTCACTTGAAAATGGTTTGGTAGTTTAATTTTATCGAAGCATTTCTAGTATTAGTAATACCAACAGCCTCGTAACTTATAAAAGATAACCTTAAGATTAACAATTGCTTTGTTCATATACAACCTTTCTTTTTCTTATTCTTTTTTTCTTTTATTTTCTCACAGCATAGAGCATGCCATAAGTAGAATATGTAGCATATGCAATGCAAGTCAAAAAACGCGAGCAAGAAGAAGACACTACACGAACATGCAAAAAACTTAAAATTGAAGAAATGAAAATTGGGAATGAGTATGCATACTCACAAGCTCCCGCCTTTCTTTCTTGCTCTTGTCATTCGAGCGAATATTTAACTCTAAGAGCCCTTTCGGAGGTGTAATCAACATTTCTCCTTTTTCCGGATCAACAACAGGAACAATTGCTTTAACGAATGGGACCCACGCTAGTTGACCAGAATCACCTTCTACAACATTTGACTTTCCATTCTGGTCAGGAATATTTCTTATCGAGCTCAACTTCACATGCAGAAGATCGCTTGCTCCACTATTGAAAACATTGACAACAGTTCCTACTGATTCTCCTGATTCCTACGAATAGCCAATTCAATAGAAATACAAAAGGGAAAATAATCAGGAACTGAAAAGAAACTAGAGAATAACAAAAAAAAAAAAAAAGTATAAAAATCATGAACCTTAAGAATAACTCTCATTCCAATAAGGTCGCGAGTGTAGAACTCGCCTTCCTCTAAGGCTGGTCTATCTTCATCTGTCACCAATATAGTTGCCCCAACAATTTTTTGTGCCTGTGAGTTGAAAAAACGAGCTAAGCATCATAAATGGGTGTCTCCCTTTACAATCAACTAAACTAATAAAAATAAAATAAAAAATCTCAGAACACCTCTTCTACTGTGTTTATGTCATTAAATTTCACAATCCAATTTTTTCCAGGGTGCCCTCGACCCTCCACCAGCTCGATTTCTTTAATAGTCTCGATTCCCATTACTTGCTGCTTCAACCATCTTGTTCCTGGCTAGAGAGAAACTTACCCGCTTCAGGTACACAGTATGGCAATTTTATTTTCTCAATACTTCTATTCAGCACATATATATATAGCTGATGAAACTTATGTTTAGGATCTTTATTGCTTTTTACTGATCTACCTCGGAAAATCGCAGTTCGGGAAAATCTGTGTTCGGTTTTACACGAACCTCTCCTTGGAGCCCATGGACACCAAAAATGTAACCAGTCTCAACAAAGCTGGAAGCTGATGAAGTAGTCTCAACAATCTCTTTAGTAGCTGAAAGTGGAAGTGTGAAGATACACATAAGAACAATTCCTTCTTCAAAGTCTCTCAACAATTGACATAACCACAGTTAACGAATCTTAACTATTTCGGATAACATAAACAATGTCGAAAACAAACCCAACATCAAGAAACACTTTCCAAAAACCTTCCAGCTTTCATATGTCTACCACAAATCTGTACACCATTTCGGTAGATTCAGTCCAAGACAATCACAGTGCATAATTTTATGCCTTCCTAAGCTGCGGCAGCTAATATATCAAGACGACTATCATGAAACTAAGCAACCCATAAGCCACTGGTACACAAAGAGAACAAAAATGCAACCAATACTATAATGCAACAACACCCCATTAGCCATTTATTAGCATCAATAATTACTGCGTAAATGTATTACCAGACGATTTGATAGCAAAGCGCGATTGTGGGCGTTTATGTAGAGACGGCCATGGTGATTTGCAGGAGAATGAAACCACAGGCTTCGAATTCAACTGATTTTTTCCGTGAAAAAACGCAAGTGCGTGAGGACCTGAGAGATGCAGATGGGTTGAAATGGGATTTGGAGAATAGCAAAGAATCGAAGAGCTTTGCATAGCTTTAGCGAGAGAGAGAGAGAGAGAGAGAGAGAGAGCTGAAGCGCGGATATGGGCGACTCTTTGGGGTTGATGGTGATAAGAATCAGAGTCCAACATTTGATTCATAAAGTACAAGTTTGCTTGTTGCTAACAGATAGGATTGGACAGCAACTACTAGGCATTGGGTAGATAAATGGATCAGGCCTATTACTTCTATTTAGCCCATTTACTGACCCCAGGACTTTCGTGTGGCCCAGATTTAATACACTTTGTAGCTTGATTCTGGCCCATTGTGTAAGGTCGGTCTGATGATCTAATCGGCCCAACATGAATATTGGTAAACGTCGAACTCTCCAACCGGCCGAAATAGCTAATGCGAACTTCTTCGCGCCGATCTGACGTTGAGTACCTGTAAAAACTCTTATACATGAGAGGTTTTTCGTTCTCAAGCTTCACCCAATTCTCAAGAGTAAAAATGGATAAATTATGTATAAAATCGTAAGAGTAACCCCTGTATATAGGGATAAGGTACATGTTCTAGAAGCTGTTCGGGTTAGCTGAGTTGGTTGTCCAAGAGCTGCACGGCCTGCCCGATAGTGCAACACACACTAAAGGTGTGTCATAAATGGTTATTCAGCAAGGGCCAATCAGAGCGCGTCGTGTGTCCTCCGCACATGGGGGGTTGGATTCTCCAGTGATCTCCTCGAAGGTTTTAGTGTTTCGACCGAACTTGGGTCAGTCCTCCAATCACTCCAAGCCCGGGAAGTGGTCGATCGAATAACTAGTTGTACAACGGATTGATCTTTGACCAGACTGTCCTCGGCTCTAGGCTCGACCTGTTCTCTTTGCTTCAGAATCCTTCTTCATGTTATCCTCCTGTCCAAAGGCTCTTGCTCCATCGGTGCTCGACCATGACCAATTTTTAAGTATTCGCTCGACAATAATAGTTCGGTTAGTTCGCTTGTTCGGTTCATCAAATTAGTCAATTTGGTTTGTTCACTATTATCCCATATCAAATATATTATTCTAACTTTCTATTTCATTGTATTTTCCTTATGGATTTAATCAATAAAATTTTAAAAACAAACCAGTCATGGTTATACATACACTTATAAAGTATAATACTCAACACTGATGTGTTTCTTGCAATCAAAATATGACTTTATTATTGTTTAAACTTTACTTATTATATCTCTATCTTATATCCGTTCATATAATTATATTTACTTTCCCATGTCATCTAACATAAATATAATATATAGATGGAAAAATTATAATATAATACAAGTAACTTATAATCACATCACTGCCATCTTTAAAAATAATAATTATTGCCACTACACATTATTCTTTTTTAACAATTATGTTAATATTTTCACATGTTGGTGAATTATATAGTAAAAGTCACATTTTTCCAAAGGTGTAATTTTATATATAAAATGATACTTTGATAAACAATCAATAAATGCCGGAAAATTGCTTGTGAGTTGTCACACATTGATTCTATAAGGTAAATGAGTATAGTTTATAAGCCTAGTGAAGTGCACTTAGGTTCACCCTCTTATAGTTCGTTCATCTGGTAGGACCACACTCTCTTCCCCGATAATTAATAATAAAAAAGAAACTAAGAATACATAATTTTAAATATATAAATGTCATGATAAAAGTACAATATGATATGCCACAAAAATTATTAAATAAAAAAATAATCAAATTTGAAGTTAACTATATTTATAATCAAATAAAATCTGCAACACAAAATACATTATGATGAAATATGCAATAAGACTATGTTTGATAATCAAATAAACTAGCTTATAATGTATTTGATTAGATTATAAACATTTTGTATCCAAATAAACATCAGTTGATATGAAAACTTTTTTTTAAAAATTCGAGCTTATCTTATAAATTTTTTTTGGTAACTTTTCAAATAAATTCGTTGAAATTTTTATTTCTACTCACTTATCAATTAAGTTTACTAAACATTGCAGTTACAAGTTATCCGTTCGAATATTATTTATAAACTATATCAATTATCGAGTTAATGACATGAAATTCAGACGTCACCGTGGCATCATAAGCCGCCATTTTTCCCACCTCACATCAAATCAGCTACATTTATTTAATTATTTCCCTAAGTAAGGTAGATTCTGATAATAATTCTTTTTTTCTATTTGTGCAGTAAAAGCATAATTTCACGTCACTGTCATTTTTCCATAAACAACCATTTTATTTATTATTTATTTATTTATTTTATTTTTTTATCTTGAAAAGTTATTATGTAGCCACGACTAGTCAATGAACCACACCAATAAAATGTACCAAATTCTTATTTAATATTTTAAAACAAAATCTTGACCTTATCCAGTTATCATCCCATCTCCTAATCCTTGTAATATGTTTTTTTTTTTTTTTTTTTTTTTTTTTTTTTTTTTTTTTT